TGTGTGTGCGGCGGGGATCACGAATGTCGACAAAAGGGATGTTGTTTGGGTCGAGTGCTCCTACGTACAGAATTGGTCACGATGGCCCTGAGTGCGCAGGCTCACTCGTCAGGGCACGCAACACGCGCTGACGAGGCGCATCGCGCGGTTGGGCCATCTCCACCCGCCAACTCACTCGGCCGATAGAAGCAGTGCTCCATGATGATAGCTCTCCACATCATCCAGCTAACTCATACAGCATCTCCGCTATCGCAGCACCTTCATCGTCCACAACTCATTCACACTGTCCTCGACGTCTATTGCCGCAGACATTCGAAGTCAGCATCAGTGCTTAAGTCCGCCAAGCCGCAACTTTGGACTTCGAGCCAAAGCCAGTGCGCGGACGTACCGAAACCCCTCGCACAGTATCTAACGCCGTCCAGGTTCACAGCGAGATAAGCAGGCGGCGACCATGTCGGTGACGTCGGCATCTGCCACTTCGGCAGGTCGGCTGGAGCCTTTTCTTCTCTTGGCAAAGTCCTCGAAAGGTGCTGCTGCTGCTCAATCCATCATTGATGCCACTGCTGCTCCTGGAGTCTACGTCTTCAATGAGCTTCTGGCTCTGCCTTCCATACAAGAGGTGAGTGCGCCTGTCTTCATGAGCTGCACGCCGACCTGAGAGATCCCGTCGCTCGCTGACATGACGAATTCACGTATGTAGCTCCAATCTGGTCCGCACGAGAAGGCATTTGCCCTCCTACAGCTGTTCGCGTACGGCACCATATCCGACTGGGCGTCCAGCCCAGACGCCTTCCCCAAGCTTCGCCCATCGCACATTTCCAAATTGCGGCACCTGACGCTGCTTACACTAGCATTCAACGCCAGGACGGTGCGATATGCGGATCTCATGTCGGCTCTTTTGTTGGACGCCTCCTCCGAGAACCCGACTGGTGGGTCCGCCGATGGTTCGAGCAGTGCTGCCTCTACTAGAGCACTCGAGGACTGCATCATCGAAGCTTTGTATGCGGGAACGTTGGCCGCAAAATTGAATCAGCGCCAGGCCAGGTTGGAGGTGGAGGCTGTGCTTGGAAGGGATATCAAGGGAACTGAAGAGCTTGCCGACTTGGAAAGGCAGCTGGCCCAGTGGTGAGTCCAGCCAAACGTCGCACGCCTTTCCGCCATCATTGACGGGAACTGCGAGCTGACACTCTGTCTGCGCGATGTTGCCCAGGTCTACAATAACCAACTCGCTTTTGGCCAGCTTGACAAATCAAATGGAGCATGAACAAGCCCGCGACGCCCTGCGCGTCTCCCACAAAGCACACCATCGAGAAGACCTCGCTCAAAGCTTGTCATCCATTGCGGACAAGCTGTCGAACCCGAACGCATTCTCTCCAGCTCTTGCCAATGCAGCTGGACACTTTGGGTCTATGGACATCGACGTACCTAGGAAGACGTGAGTATCTCCTAATTAATTGTAGGCAAGTTGATCTCATTAACGCCGTTCCTCGCGCACCCCGCGCTGTCACAGTCCTCACCGAAAGCGCACAAGAGGCTGAATGCTGGAAGGACCCGAACCAAACAGGTAGCATCTCCTCGCGCAAATTCCAAGAGCCTCGAGCACGCCTTCAAACGCTCTCCAAAAGCTGCCATCAACTTCAGGCTTTTGTGAAGACTAATCGATGATCAAGTCAAGGCCTTTCAGACCATCAACCACGCGTACCCCTTGGCGGCAAATCTGTTGATGTTGAATACAGCTAGAAAGGCGTTCTACCATGAATCTGGCACAAACAATGCCAC